CTCTTTCTCTCTCTCTTTCTCTCTCTCTTTCTCTCTCTCTTTCTCTCTCTCTTTCTCTCCCTCTTTCTCTCTCTCTTTCTCTCCCTCTTTCTCTCTCTCTTTCTCTCCCTCTTTCTCTCTCTCTTTCTCCCTCAGGCAGTTATATTCTGTCACTTCTTCCACATTTTCTTCACATTATAACCACATTTTGATCTGTTTTTGTCCCATGTTCATCCTCCATGGTGATCTCAAATCCTTGTGCTCTAAGTCCCCTTCTCCTAGCCTCAGTTCATTGAGAACATACTGTTGAAACACTGCCCTTGTCCATGGCACTTTGTGCCCTGTTTTCTAAGCAGGAGCTTTTGACTGTCTTCTCTCCAGATAAACATCTCTCTCCAAATAAATATCACATAACCTAGGTTTTATAATTTGAGTTTCTTTCTTTTTTATTATTTTTTTAGGAGGAGGAAAAATGAAAAACAAAATGTTTCTAGTCTGCAGTGCTTTAACAGAAGCTAGGTTCATAAACATAAACAGCAGGAGATTGCTCCTTTACTACCATTACAGCTTACCCAGCTTCACTCTTGATTTATTTACTTATTTATTCATTCTCCTTTGGGTTAACTTACAACAGGAACACTTGATTTCTGCCTGGGGTTTCTTTGTTCTGTGTGTTCCCTTTGCCTGTCTTGCACAAACTGCACCAGTTGATAGACTGTTCTCCATATATCCCTTGGGTAGTCTGGAAGAAGTATTACATTCAGCTCTTGGAAACCTCACAACTACTTAGTTCTGTGGTTTTCTTGTTTTCATGCCATGAGGAGGTTTTACTCAAGCTCCTTGGACATCACTTTAACAGTGTATAGAGAGACCTCCAAATTCATGGCACATTCATGGCTCTGTGTCAGTCCTGAGACTGTCATTTGCTGCCTACTTTAACTGCTTGACATGCAGATTTTCCATGCTATGGTTCTCCCATATCCCTTTTGGCATGGTCAGGCCAAATTCATTTGGAATTCTGAATAATTTAGTAATTTCTGCAAGCCATATTTAAAGCGATTTCTTTTGCTTTGACTATTTGATGACCCCACCATCACTTTGCCTTGTAACGACTCATTGATGGTCAGAAAAATGGTGGGTTACTTCATGGTTGTTCCACTGTGTTCTTTATGAAAATCTGTCTTCGAAAATGGTGGACTGCAAGGTAGAGGTTCCTTTTATTTAAATAGGTTTAAATCTGGAGAGATTCTGATGTCCTGGAACCTGCTTCAGTCTTTGACAAATCTTACTGTTTCTTGACTGTGTAGGAGCCATTTCTGCTGTTCATAGTGCAGGCTAAGAAGAAAAAATGATTTCTGTTAATGGCCATTCCCACATGCTGTCGGCTGGATATAAGAAGTCATTCTCTTCTGTGCTGTAAATAGCTTTGGCCACCTTTTGTCTCTCTCTGCATGCAGGCACTGTCTGACTTGGCTGAGAATGAAATGGGAATAACTGAGGGTTAGGGGTGGGCTTTCTGTGTGGCCAAGGAAGGGCTGGGTGAGAGACTTCAGGGAGAGAAAGACACTGAAGGTGATGATAACATTTCTCTCTTGCATTCCTCAGTCCCAAACTGAATTAACTGATGGTCCTCTCTCTGCAGTTTGTATTATTCAGAAACTGTCATTTCAGCAATTTGGAGAGTATGCAGGAGGATTTAGATTTTATATTTCCAGTAGATCTGGGCTTTCCAAATGAAAGTCATGGTATACATTCTTTGAGCAAGTTTCTTCCCTTCCTAACAGCTGATCAACCACACACAGGCATCTTATTACCTCATGTTTAATGGTGTGCTTTTCTCCAGTGATGACAGCCAGTGCCTGTGGCTCTGAGTCTACTGCATGTCTATGACAACTATTTTTCCATCAACTTACTCAGATACATGTAAATGTATAATTGTGGGATTATTTTTTCTTGTTATAGAGAAAGCTAGGTTTGATATTGGATTAAAATGTTATAAACAAAACACCCCCTCCTTCTCCAGCACCCAGGGTATTGCCAAAGGCAAGCCTTAAAAAAGGAAGATGGGAAATGTGTTGCAATAAAATGCAATAGCAATGAGAGATCAGTGGTAATAATTCTGTTTTTTTTTAATATGTATTTTACAAACTGTGTAAAAAGAAAAGTTAAAAATGAATGTTGGCATCCAAGCAATAACAGTCAGAACCTGTCTTCCCTGTGACCTCTGTTGACAGAAGCATTTTAATTTTGAGCACTTGCTGATTCCTGCAGGCTGAAGAGTATTCCACCTGGCCTTAATTGAAGTAGGAGCCAACAACAGTAACTTGCTCTATAATTACTTAAGCGATAACTTTTTAGGACACTCCAGGCTGTGCGTCTGGCTGTGGCTTCGGGATGTGATTACACTGTGAAAGAGGCATTGATATGCTCAGGACTCCTTCCCCTAGGCCCCTGCCCTCTTTCATTGCCTACCTAAATATATGCTGCTGAGCAAAAGCAAAACTCAGTAAGTACTGTGACTTTTGGGGAGCAAAGAAGCTGTCAAGTCTTCTTGCAAGCTCTGGAGATGCTGAAATGATATTCTCAAAACAGGCTTTCAGTTTTGTCCTGTGAAGTACTGTGCATTGGGAACAACTCAGATGGAGGTTAGAAAGTAGAGCTGGAAGAGATCTTAAGAAGGCAAAAAAGTCTTTTAGTCAAACCCACTTTATAGAAAAATGCCTCCTGACAGCCTAACTTTCTGTTAGTCAAGCTTTTTCCTAGATACTTTTAGGTGCAGAAATTCTTCCACCTCAGTGGGGTTTCTTCTAATGCCCTTATGGTCTTAGCCAGCTTCCCCCACTATCTAACCTCTTTTCTTCCATTTAAGTCCTTTATTACTGTTTGTCTCCACTAGGCATCAATTTTATCGTTTTCAGATTGGTGCAGGGAGGCTGACAGTACTGTCCCCTCAAGCTTGCCTTCCCCTGAGTTACACAGTTCTTCAATCCCTTTTCTCAGCACATAGTTCCTAGACTACTGGTAATTTTAGTTGGGCTCCTATGAATGATGTAATTGTCCACATCTTCCTAAGGCAGATGGCTACTCGGAAGGCTTTAGAAATGCTGTGTTAGTATTGGAAACCTTGAAGCTTACAGTACTTCAGCTTGAAAGTTTCTGCATGATGCTTGTTTTTTCCACAGCTGCATGAGATCACAGGCTGTCGTTTTCTGCATAGATGCTTATTTTGAGGATCCTTTTGGTATAAGCCTTACTTTTATGTCTCACCTGGCATTGAGGACATACAATCTAGCAAGCTCAGGTGTTACTGCTGAATATTTGCTTTGATGGAGCAGTGCTTTGTTATAAATGGATCACTGGTCATTGCAAACAATGTATATTACTTATTACTTATTGCATTATTTATTTTAGAAGGTGCAGTAGGTTACTCAGCTGACGTCCCTGCATCAGATCGACCCCACAGTGAGACAGCCACCTATGTTAATATTCCTGTCAGTCCTACATCCAAAAAACTACTTCATTACATGGAACTGGAACTTCAAGAATCTACGACAAGCATAAGAGGTAAGAAAGTCTGCAATATTGTTTAAACAACAAAGGAAGTGATAATGCTGAGGTGTAAGTGGTGTGGGGAATCCTTATTTTTCATCTACCCATAGCCTCTTGTTAATAGAGGAGTCCTACCTTACTCTGTAAGTGAGGCCGTTCTCAGAATTGCCAACATTTTTGGAAAGATCTTTAACTAATGAGGTTCTGTAGTATGTTGCATCGTTGACGGGTGCATTGTATATGAACTACTAAAGCAAACATTTCTGAGTCTGGTTTGACAGACACTAATTTGCTCATGTTTTCAAGGTTTTCATCTTACGTACTAGGACTAGAAGGTTATCTGAATTTCCTTCTTCCAACCCTTTGGAAACAGGGCTGTGGATATAGGTGAACAGAGCTTGCTCTTGGAGATACCAACTGCAGCCAAGCAGCAAATGACCATAAATACTTTATTCTTTCATGCTAAAGTTTTTCTCAGTCTGTCCATTCAGAGAGCTGTCCTTCTCTTCATTACATTATTGCTGCTTACTGGACCAAATGTCCTGATGCCCGGAGCTGCAGGTGGTTGATCTGGTGAATGTTGACAGAATAGGACTAATCCAGACTAAGATGAATCCCCGTCAATGCTTCCACGCCAGCATTGTTTTCTTTTCAAATATTAGGTGTTGTTCGTTTACTGCATAATAGTTAAGTGATGAGAGATGTGTCCCAAAAGTGGGAGAGTAGAGTTCAGTTTCATCTCTTACTCGGACAGATACAGTTTCAAACCTGGGTCAGAAATGCGAGTGATTCACTACACACTTTCTGAGGAGAAGTAGGTGCCTAAAAAATGTAGATAACAAAACTTTGAGTTTTTGTCTTTTTAATTTTGAATTGAATGTGTGCTGACAGGTAATCATTTTACTCCCTTTATAGATCTATTTTTAAGACCAAAGTATTATTGTATAGGAAGCCTGTGGAACAAGAATCTTACTGCCTTAACCCTGGGGGAGCAAAAAAGGGTTATAGCCTGTCCCCTGGCTTAGTTTGTTGTTCCAGGGGGTGGCTCGTCCCGCTACGCTCAGATAGACATCGCGGCCACGGAGACGGCGCACAAAGTGGGGACGCAGCACGCGCAGGGCCGCGAGGAACGCCTGCAGCAGCTGGAGCACAGGAAGAAAGGGGCTCCCCAGTGACCCGCCTGCAAAGGAACTTTTTGCTCACTGTAAATTGGTACTAATTTAACTTTCAGAAGATCCACATTTATTATTAAAAATATGCTCATACAAAAGCTGCCATTGCTTATTGTATTTATACCAGATTCATTCCAATATCTTGGTTCCTAATTGGAAAGCTGGTAGCATGAGGGGTGTGTGCGTGTGTGTGTGCTCTCTCTCATTTTTTTTTAATTTGGTTGTAAAGTCCAGATTATTTTTTCATATACAAAGATGAAAGTTACCTTTTTCTATAGTTCCAAAATCCTGGAAGAACCTGGAACAAATCTGGTGATTATTAAACTGAAGCATTTTCTTTACAGATAAAGGATTAGGGCGCGTGCAGAGACAAGGTGAGTGTGTGTATGTGGTATGTGTATGTATGTGTCTGTGTGCATGTATATGTACGTTTTGTATGTAAGCACACACTACTCTGATAAAATATATGTATATAACTGAATATATAAAATATTTAAAACTTTTATTAATATATTAATGGACTCTTAATTACAAAAGCAAGAAAATTTGGTGCCTTTTTTGAAGGCACAGTTTTATTCATTTTTTAACACTCATTTATGGACATGCTTAACTTTACCTATGGATAATTCAGTTTCAAAACTCACCAAGAGTTCTGTACCTTTGGCTGAAATTGCTCAGGTCTGGAAGAGCTGCAGTGTTAAGGGCACAGATATTTATATACAGACATGCATAAGATCATACACACACAAGATGTTTAGTTATGTGTATAAATCACATACCTGAGGCAAAAAAAATACAAGTCATTTGAAGGCCTGCTTGGGGTGCTTCTCTTTTTGAAACTCCTGTTTTAGACAGTTTAGGCTTTGATATTGTAGTTGCTGGGTACCTATAATTCTTACCATGTTGTCCTAGAGTTGAAGAGATCTTTGTTTTCAAAATCAGGCCTTGGGTTTCTCATATTGAATATCTTAAAATTAAGGTACTCAGAAAACCCAGTCACTTTTGAAGATGAAAATAAAGGGCTTGTTTTCCAAGGCTATACCTTGTAATGGAAACAAACTCCAAAATCAGATCATCCAGCTTGCAACTGAGGCTTTTGTTGAATAATTCTCTGCAGAATAAGTCCTGTGCGAGAGCCTTGTATCTGCAAAGGTGCCACAGAGCTGAGGCAGAGCAGGTTGTTCTGTTGGAATATAGTTTTAGCCTCAAGTCTTCCGCATCCTGCTTTTGTACAGTAAGTGAGACTGTAGGGCTCAAAACCACTGACTGTAGGGCACAAGTTTCTTGTGTTATTGGTGTACGCAATTCTTGTATTCATGTATTTGTCCTGAAACAAAGTGTTATTTAACTTTGTCAGTGGTCGTACAATAGCAAAGCTATGAAGAAAAAAAGAATTTGGGCCTGCAAAAGCATATCAGCTTTGAGCTTCTAGGGGTTATCAGAAGTCTTGTCTTGATTATTATGACTACTTGACTGTGTAACCTCAGTAGTAATAAAAAGTATTAGAAACCTCTCCAATAAATAATTGTGAGAGTTGACCATTGCTGTTGTCATTTTTCCTGTTCTGTTTATCAGCCCAGAATACTTGGAAGAGAAATACTTATTTTATGAATTTCCCAATTTCCCAATTTTCAAAGATTTTTCTTATTTGGCAAAGGAATGCTTGTGAATATGTAATATATAATTGTAAATATGTATTCACTGAAAATGCAAGAGCCTGGATTTCAAGCTCCTGGGACCAGTTTTATGTAGGACCCAGTGCTTTCCAGGCCCACCTGAAACGTTGCTCACTTAAGGTTTCTCCATTGTAGGACTTGCAGTGTTAAAACCCTTATATTTCTATTTAATAATAAAAATGTCCGTTTCTTGCTTGGTACATTAAAATGGTTTTGATGCTTTCCAATTTTAGTCTTTTTTTTTTGTTAGAGACTTTTGTGAAATGTACTGACTTCCTGTCAGGTGACTTTGATCTGTCATGTGCTTGGACCCTATTTACACATCTCTATGGACTTGGCACTTCAAGATACTGATTCGTGCTGGTGCTGGTTAGTATGCTGCCCCATAATGAAGCTGCCATATTTCTACTGTAAAAAAGAGTATTTACCACGATAAAGTATTACCCAGGTTTTCTGGCTTCTTTTCCATACGTTTCTCAAAGCTACTTGCATTGAAACCTAGTGTTTGCAGCAAGGATAGAGATTTGACATAATAGGAAGGAGGCATCACAAAAACGCTCTGAACATTCTAAAAACATTTGTTCAAGTTAAGTGGGGATGTGAATCTGTGCGTGAGTTTGGCCCTCTGTGTGTATATGTTGTGGTAACTTCAGCTAGGATTAGCTAGATAGCTGAAAGTACATTTATCTCTTTAGTCTTTGCTAATGTTATCAGAATTATCCCATAAGATTTTCCACAAATGAATTTTATTTCCTCTTGTACTCAGCTAGAATAAGACGAATAGACTGGAGGTTTTCACTTAATATTTTTTTAAGCTCCATTCTTGTTCTTATGCACTAAATGATGTTGCAAAATGTTTAGGAAGCTGAAGAAGTCAGTCAAACCTAATTCTTACGTCTGTTAAAAATTGGTAGCTTGTTCTTACAGTACCTCACAGACCTCTCCATGTTACAGGCTTGCTCTTCGTGCTGAAGAAGCTAATGTTCTGTTTTGTTTGAAGAACAGGAAGGAGTTCGCAGAAATCAAAAACTTTTTCCTATATAAATAAAATATGAGTGGTGGACAGAGGAAGAATGAAGGTCAAATTTTCTTTAAAAAATGACATGATGAAATGTGCAAACTTTTCAATAAGTACCTTTCCTAGGTTGTCTGTGAGCTAGGAAAAAAGTGCCAAAAAATGTTGATTTGGATGCGTTCTGTTGAGTTTGGTTGTGTAGTCACTCTCTGAGGTTTAGGATGATGACAGTGATCAGGAGGTCACAGATTAAAGTTGCTTCTTCTGTGAACTTTCTTCAAATGTCTAGGGCAAAGGTGACAGGAAAATGCATATCATTCATATTCTGGATTACAATACAATAAATTCTTTTATGAAGTAATGTGTGTGTGTTTAGGGAAAAGCAGCTGCTGAGTAAACTTTGAGTTAAGTAGAAACTTGACTGTTAAGTTAAAAAATGTATTTGCTTAAACATTTGACTGGAACAGAGCGTCTAGAAATAATGCAGTTTTTTCTCCCGTTGTATGCACGGAGGCATACAGGCATATGTAACAACCTTTCCCTGAAGTAGTAGGTGTCAATTTATTTGAGCAATGCGCAGTGGGGGGTGAGATCCAAAAGCAGATTAGCATGACAGTAATCTTCCTGTACAAGTACATTATAGTGTTGTGAAATACGTCTAAAAAAATCCCGAGAACCTGTTATTGTGTAAGTTAAATTTTACTCATCTGTGGGTGAGCTTTCAATTTATGGGGAGCTCAACACACACAGAGGAGAGGGGGTCGGTTGTGCGCGTCCTCCCGCTCAGAGGGGAGCTGCCCTTGGCCCGCGCGCGGCGCCCTCGCGTTGGGCCTTGCCGGGTTGGGCCTTGCCGGGACGCGCTGCGCAGGGCCGAGGCGGCTGGACGAGGAGCGCGGGGAGCCGCGTCCGACTGCCGTCGTGCGCTGTGTCCTTGGCTGCCCTCACGGACCCGCTGGGCACGGCTTAGAGAAATTAACTTGGGGAGTTTGGTGGAGAGGGAGGTAGGTGTCAGCAGAGAGCCGAGAAGCTGCAGTTGCTCCTCGCTGGCTCCTCGGCAAGGCTTGGGAAGAGCCATAGAGTCTGCCTGTAAAGCAGAGTGCGTGGGCCAGCACCGAGCCCAGCGTTAGGCTGCTGCTTTTTGTGCAACGTGTGGTGGTAGCAACGAGGTGAAGGTTCTTGGAGCAGCCCGAGGCCGCTGCGCTCTTTCCTCTGTCAAACTGCAGCTGTGGCAGCAGCGCCTGTGCCACGTGTGGAAACGGGGTGCGTGGATGGCTGGGGCTTAGTTCAGACCTTCCCATGGATGTTTGTCCGACTGGGGAAGTGTCCTTCAAGATGCCAGTTACCATCTTCAGGTGGGTTGTCATGGGAGCCCTGTCCCTGTGTCCTGGCAAGGCACCTGCCTTGGACAGTGCCAGAGGAGCTGGAGGCACCGGAGTAACCCAAAACCTGGTGGCCAAAGGGAAAGACTGTCCACACCTGAATAGGGTGTTTGCTTCATCCCTGGATTGAAAAAAGCTAATGGTAACTAACTAGGTTTTAATTTCCCTGCAGCCTTGTAGCTACCTCTGGTTGCTGCTGCTGCTTCTCCAGCCCCAGGTGTGCCCCCTTCAGCATGTGGGCTGGTTTTCCTGTTGGAGATTCTGGTGTTGCTGTTCGTTCGGATGGCAATAAAACGAGACAGAAAACAACTCCTAGGCGCATCCCTGCAAAATCATGGTTTGCAGTTTTAACCCTTTCTCTTCTTAAAATAATGTAGCTTCCTCCCCCCCTTTAAAGCAAGTGGCCTAGAAGATTGTAACTGCAGAACATTATGTAGTATTTTATTTCAATAAAAAGCTTGTTTCAAAGTGATTAAACACTTGCTTTGGCCTATAAAGATCAACAAGTTTAAATTTACAGTGGACCAATGCTTGACAGGCAATCTTTGGGATTTAAGAGTGATTAATTATATGAAAACTGGTGTGTGCTGCTTTCTGATAAGCTTATATGCTGGTGAAAGGAGAGAATACCTACATGCTATGTTAACGTTCCCATCATTTTTATGTTCACACATTAAGTATTAATATTTGTGTCCTGTTTTTTGTCTTGGAGAGTGTCCTCTTGAGGGCAGACATCATCTACACTGGTGTGGTTATGTGAGACAGTGCTTTAGGGCTGACAAATGCGTTTGGTTACTGCACTGAAGGTGGTTCAACTTGAAACATTTACTGTGGATGGCAATTTATAAATTTATTTTAGTTTAACAGGACAGATTTTATGAATACTTTTATGACTATGGGTGCTAGCAAAGGAAATGCATACCACATTTTTCCTATAGATTAATGAACTGCTTTCCAACAGGTGCCATGCGAGTGGCCTGAAATACAAGTCAGCAGTGTAGCATATTGGAGATGCTGCTGCTGGAAGTCATAGCTGCTGTTTTCTGTTACAGGGATAGTTCTGATAGCAGAGGTCTGCTCTATTCACTGAAAAGTCATGATTTGATTTCTTCTAAACAAATGCTATGCACTGAAAAAATACATTGAAAATGGTTTTTAGAGCTGCCTGTGTAGTACTGGTGAGTTTTTGTGTGTGCAATAATAGCACTTAACCTAAACCCTGAATACTTCTCTGAAGCGCTGACAAATGACCATGAGGAAGGCTCTGTGACCTGTGAGTATGTTGGACACT